TAACGGCATGTATATGGCATAGTATATATATATATACTCGTATATATATATATATATATATATATATATATATATACATATATATACATATACATATATATATATATATATATATATATATATATTAGTTATTTTGGTTGAGTATCTTCTTGTCCTATCTGTAATCATACCCTGTAATGCCTGGATCAAGTGATATGCTCGACGTACAAGTCACGAGACCACTTCATCGTTACAGCCACTATAAGCTGCTTCATTAACATCGAGTAGCGTCGGCCTATTCCAAGGGTTATCAGGGTTTCGGGATTCTTCTTATCGCATCTTCCATGTGACCCCATTACAAATGTTGATATGGTGGTGTTGAATCCTTCCGAGTGCATGTGTTCGGCCAAGGCGCTATATTGCCTTATTTTCTCTTCTCTCGCAGTCACGAATGCATGAGGACGGTTTTCAAACGACACTGTAACGTCCACAATTAGCGCGGTCTTCTGTGCTTTGTCCACTATGACCATGTCGGTCCTTTCTGCACCAGAATATCTCGGGATCTGTTGGTAAACGTACGTCCTGGCGTTGGGAGGGACCTTATAGCCTCTGTGAGACGATTTCAAATTGCGTTGTGCGTTCTAGTCGTAGTTACAAATTGCGGAAGGCAGTGGTTGAGCACGTGCGGCAGGATCTCATTTTGGTGACCGCATCTTCTGCACCTGGCGCCCCGGCCAAATCTTCTGCAGCCTTTTAATGGCAGCACATTGAAGCGGGCTATGTGTATAAACCTCCAGTCAGCGAATCTCATAATGTTTCCTTCTCTGAGGAAATGGTTGGAGGATGAGTTGGTCAAAGTCACTTCTCTTACTTTTCTTTGGTTGGGTTTGAGAATAAGCTTGTTGCGGAAGTGACTCCGCGCCGCTATTCTTAGTGCGCCTTCTGAGTTCTGTCTCTCGACGCGCTTGTCGTCCACTTGTAACGAGTCCAGTTCGAGGAATAAGTTAATTTTGTCTGGCGGCTGCTCTTAGTCTCATCCATGTGGAACTGTTATTATTGCTCGGTTTTCCTACCAATCCTTCGCCTGATCCGTTGACATAATCAAGCAGTTCCATTAGTGTGGCCTCCTTGATGGTTTTCTTCCGAACAACCTACTTCAGCGCTGCCAGACTCGCTACTGTGACGCTGTAATCGTTGGACGTGAGCTGTCTGTGTACAAGGAACGTCTGTCCGATGTCTTCGATGTCGGCCTTCTTTATATGCAAAGTATAGAATTTCAGCGCAGGTCCGTCTCGGCAGATTGGCCCACTTCTTGGCGTAAGTTTTCACCTCTAGGTCGTAATTCCACAAAAGTTTTTTTTTATGGTTTCGGAGGTGAAATTGTAATTGCGGCATAATGGACGTGTATAGGGCTTCCACCTTCTGCCACGGGGCCAGTAGAGATTTGTTAAGTTGTTCCGCATGTCTCCTCATCGTCGTGATAACTTCGTCAGCCGAACTGAAACTTCGGTCTTCATTGTTTCTCCACTTAGGCTGAAAGTCGTAGCAACGGCTCGATGGTGTTTACCGACCACATGCAACGTGGCGCATTTCCTAGTGTAGAACTGCAGTCTGCTCCATTTTGAGACCGTAGCTGTGGTTTCTAACAGTTTTCGCAGTCTCTCTGCACTATCAGTCATCAGGACCCGGTCATCCGCATACGCCAGCACGTTATTGACGATGCCGTTTGCATTATAGTTCTCTGGCGCATTGCGGATGGCTCGTAGTAGCGGCTTAATGGCAATGTTGAATGCTATAGGAGACAGCGGACATCCCTGCTTCACTCCCGCTTAGCATCCGCTACAAAATTGTTCTATCAGGGTAATGCTCTCGCTGTTCAGTCCCGCCCAGCGCATTGCGTTGAAGCTCGTTTTATGCGGCATGGAGCCGAAAGTATTTTTGAGGTTCAACCACGCAACCGTGATTTCTTTGCGTCTCCTTCTGACATCTTGAATTAAAGATTGCGTGTAGTTATGATCGCTGCAACCCTCAAATGGCCCTTTTGTGCGCTTGATACGGTTGTTTTCTCTGCACCACTTGCCCAGGCAATCTGACAGAACCGATGCGTACAATATTCCAATTGTATTCGACAGGGCAATAGGCCTCCAGCTCGTATCCTCATCCAGGTCTCATTTTTTCGGGATTAAGATAATCTCCGACACCTGCCACAAGTGGGGTACGTACTTCAGCCTGTGTGCCTTATTGAATACTGCCTCTAATATATGAGAGCCATAACCGCATTTTTTTCGCGGATAGTAACTGTTGCCATCGGGACCCGGCGCCGTGTTTTTGCATTTAAGGGCACGGGCCCAGTACTCTTCTGCTGTGAAAGCTTTAGTTAGGGGGTTATTGTTCCCATCTCCCAACGGTGTTATTGGGGGTATAACTCCCGGCATGGCTTCTGACGGTTCTGGATCCGGTTGTCTTCGGTAAACGGCCTTGAAGTTTCCGTTGAGAAATTTGGGCTCAAAGCGACAAAACGCTCTTTCTTTGTTTCCCGTTATTTCCCGAAACGCCATTTTCTTATCTCGCCTATATACTTTCTGTATACGAGCAGCAGCAGCAGGGTCGAAAGTCATTTTGGAGTTCCTTCTCCGGCGATATCTTTGGCTAGTATTTGGTCTATGTCCGCGGCCTGTCGTGTTTGTGTTTCGAGGGCTCTCCGGCGGCTTGAATAATTCCGATATTACTTTAATTTCATTATCCAGTTCATCCGGTGATGTAATCGCACCGATTCTTCGGCAGACCTCGGATTGGAAATCTGACAACTTTGGGGCAGGCAGCGCAGGACTAGAAACAACACTTCTTCCGGTCGTTGTTGGTTCATAAGAGCTTGCGCCCAATCCTGCGTCATTCGCTCGTATAACATGGTTAGCGGCATGTACATAGCGCAGATAACTTGGTATTCATTGTAGCAAGGTTAAAAAGTTGTTTACAAGTAATATACGGAATCATTTGGGCAGGATAGAAAGGTTTGTAGAGAATATATTATAATGATTTCATTATTTTCTTGTCCTTTTTCAGCCGTGGTACTGTCTGCATCCCGTGATGTGCTCGACGTACATGTCGCGGGACCATTTGATGGTGTCAGACACCATCAAACGCTTCATAAGAATCGAGTATCGTTTGCCAATATTAAGGGCAATTAGGGTACCGACGTTGTTCTTGTCATAGCCCCCGAATGATCCCATGACGAATGTCTGGATATTCGTGTTGAGACCCTGGGCATGTAGGTGTTCGGCTAAAGCACTGCATTTCTGCCTGGAGTCGGTTTGCAAATGTCACTATCACGTCCATAATTAGCGCGGTTTTCTGCGCCTCGTCCAATATGACTAAGTCTGGCCTTTCTTTGTCTTAGCGTTAGGCGGCACTTTCATCGCCTTTGTGAGACGATTCAAGATTGGACTGCCATCTCCAATAAAGGTGTTGGAGACAGAGTTGGCCGATGTCAGTTCCATAGCTTTTCCCTAGTCAGTTGTTTGAAGCAGCTTGGTTTTGAAATGATACCGAGCCGCTGATCTCAGTGTGGCTTCCGCGCTCTGTCTTTCAATGCACTTGTCATCGACGTGGAGCAGGTCTAGTTCGAATCGGAAGTTGTTTTTCCCTTTGAAACGTTAGGCGGCTGCTCTTAGTCGCGTGCACGTAGAGCTGATGTCGTTGCTCGGCTTTCCGACCAGTCCCTCGTTTGAGCCGTTGATATATTGCGTAAGTTCTTCCTGCGTAGTCTCTCTGATCCTCTTTTTTCCTGACGACATGGCGCTGCTAGGCTGGCTTCTGCGACGCATTTGTCGTTCGACGTAAGGAGCCTGTGCGCGTGGACAACCTGTCCAATGTATGCCAGGAAAGAAGTCAGCAGCAGGTTGTAACCACATTCCTTGCATGTGAGGTAGAGAATTTCCGCGCTGGCTCTTTTTGGCAGATTGGCCCATCGTTTGGCATAGGTTTTCACCTCCCAGTCTTATCTTCATAAGAGTTTTTTCGCGGCTTTTCCATTTCGGAGGTGAAATTGTATTTGTGGCATAATGAAGGTGTTGAGGGCATCCACTTTCTGCCACGGGGTCAATAATGACTTATCGAGCTGTTCCGCCTGTCTCCTCATCGCTCTGATGACCTCGTCTGTAGAGTTGAAGTACTTTAATCCAGTAGGAATTTCAAGGTACCCGTATGACTAGTCTACGTCTAGGGCCTTAATGATTTCGCCGTTCAGACTGAACGTAGTGGTGACAGCACGATGGCGTTTCCCGTCCACATTCAGCGTTGCACATTTCCTTGCGTTGAACTTTAGTCCACGCCATTCTGAGGCCGCAGTTGTGACGTCACTTAGTTCTTGTAGCCCTTCTACACTGTCGACCATGAACACGAGGACATCCGCACGAGGATGGAGCCGAACGATTTTTTTAAGTCTAGCCACGCCATCGCTATCTCCTTATGTCTTCTTCTGGCATCTTGGATTAAAGATTGCAGCGTGTAGTTTTGTTCGCTGCAACATTCGTAGGGCATAAATCCCTTCTGCGTGGCCGAGATCCAATCGTGCTCTTTGAACCATCTGCCGAGGCGTTCTGCCAAAACTGAGGCATACAGCTTTCCCATTGTGTTTAAAAAGTGCAATGGGCCTGCAGCTCGTAACTTCGTCCAAGTCCCCTTTCTTTAAAATGAGTATAATCTCTGACGTTAGCCACGAGCGGGGAGTGTATTTAAGTCGTTGAGTTTGATTGAACAAGGCCGCCAAGATATGTGACCCGGGGTCGCATTTTTTCAGCAGCCAATATCCAATTCCGTCGAGACCCGGCTCTGTATTTTTACATTTTGATGCTCGGGCCCAAATCTCTTCTGCTGTAAATATTTTCGCTACAGGGTTGCTACGACGTCGTCTCTGATTGGTATTGGGTCTGCATCTGCGACTAGCCCCTTTCCGGGTTTCAACGTTTATTTTCGGCTTGATTGATTTGGTTAAGTGATGTAATAGCCTCAATTCTCCGGCAGGCCTCGACCTGGAATCTCGTCAAGTTTTGGAGCAAGCAATGAAGACGTAGGGATAGTTCTTTCGGTTGTTGTTTGTTCGTGGACGCCTTCTGCTCGCGATGGAGTCTCGCTTGGCCGGGAGTTGGTTTCTTCTGTTATGGTTCTTATATCGCGCAGGCGTTCCGCAATTTACCTCTCCATTTCATTCACCGTCACCGCTTCGTTCTCATTGGAAACCACCTCGACCGGGGGCGCTAACTCTTCATTTGCTTCTCACTACTAAACTGGGCCACATTGGGATTTTATCGTTTGATGCTCCGGGTAGTGAAGCTGGCGGTTCGGCTCCGGTGGCGTCTCTGCAATGGTAGGCAACTGGTTTCCGCTTGTTCTATTCGTGGTGATTTCTGCTAGACTGTGCAACAGCGGAATATTGTCGCCGGCTTCCTCGCGCAGTAGTCCTGGCGGATTAAGTTCTGGTGATATCTCAGCCGTGGTGGATTCCCGGCTTTCGCTTGTTTTGTCTGGAGGCGCTTTTTTAGTTTTCCAAATAACCTTACCGCCCTTCTGTCCACAGTCTGTTGGAGGCGCAATCGCTGCTCTACTTCTCGACCTTGTCATTATTTGAGAGCTAGAAGCTGAAAAGGAGGTATTACTCCTGGTCGCTGATGTGGTCGCTGCAGTTTAAGTCTCGTTTGGATGGTCGATGTAGGCCCGTTGGTCGCAGCCTGGATATTCGAACTAGCTGTAGAAGCGGACTTTGGTGGAATGTTGGGTGTTGGCTTGGTCGGGTTGTTTTGGTTTGTCATATTGGCCTTTTTCCCAAGGCCTTCGCATTTCATAAGGTGGCCCCTAAATGCGTTCATCGAAGTTGTTACGATGCATAGCAAGCATTTATATTTGAGTATAGCGTGGTGCTCTATCCTCAAATGCATCATTAATTTATTTTTCTGGGCGTATGCTTTCCTGCATTTGGGGCAATGTATTCTGTCATCTTTCAGCGGTAGGCTTAAGTAGATGATCTCAGATTCCGCAGATGTGGAACTTTCTGTGCTGAGCGAAAGTCTGAGGTCATAATCGCAAGGTTTTGTAGGCATGCGTCCTGGTAAGCTTCTTTGGGAGATCGCGCAGGCGTTCCACGACCCTTCTTTCCGTTGCCTCCGTTGCGTTCGTATTAGTGTACCTCTCGGGTCGAGGCTCTGGCTGTTGATTTGTTTGAATGTTTGTTTCGTCCGCCGATCACATTTTCATTATTCTGGGCCACCTGGAAATTTTGTAGCTTATTACATCGGGAAGTAGGGCTGGCGGATCTGTGTCGGCTCTTATTTCCACCATTCTGGGCAACCTCGGAATTTCGTCAATAGTTACTTCGGGCAGTGGAGCTGGTGGTTCTGTGGCGGCTCTTATTTCCGCCAAGCTGACCCACATCGATATTTCGTCGCTCCTCCGAATATCAAAGCTGTTGGGTCCGGTTCCGGTGGCGTCTCTGCTGGGGTAGGCATCCTGTTTTCGCGTGCTTTTTCCTTGACGACACCCAGCAACACCCTTTTACGGTCTCGTAAGTATGTTTTTTTTTTGTATACGAGCAGCTTGAAAGTCAATTACGGGTTCCTCCTACAACGTTGTCTCAGATTGGCATTGGGTCTGTGCATGCAACCTTTTTCGTTTCGGGTTTTTGTACTTGATCGAATTCGTGAGATCTTCGATTTCTCTATCTAGGTCAGCTGGATAGATAACGCCTCTGGTTTCGTCCTGTTGTGGGGCCGCCGCTATAACGCCCGATGATGTGGTGACTATTTCAGTAACACCGTTCCGTTACGCTCTCTGTCATGACCTTGCTTTTATTAGATTTTCGGGGTGCCTTAATTATATATAGCAGAAATCCGGCCTTCATTTGTTTCGGCCAAAGGCGTGCTTTCTTAGATTACCCCACTACCTGTATTTTTCTTTCTGTACAGAGTCTGCTCCTCAAACTCTTCATTATAGGAATATCGTCCTCAAGATGTGCGCGCCGGAATAAATTTTCTTCCACAATTAATATCCTATACTTCGGCCCGGCGGGCCCAAACCACTTGCTGTATAAAAGGTTTTATTAAGGGTCTGTTATTTTCTTCCACAACGGCTATTTACGATACACGGCCCTAAAGAAACAGTGGAAAAATTCGGGATCAAAGCAACCCACGCGGTTCCCAGTTATCTCTCTGAACGCCATTTTTGTATCTCTTCTATAGGTTTTCTGAATTCGGGCAATAGCTGAAGGGTCGAATAATATATTTCGGTTTCTACTTCGATATCTTTGGCTGGCGTTAGGCCGGTGTATGAGAGCCATTGTGTTCCTGGTTGCTGAGTATTCCGACGGTTTGATTGACCCCGACAAGTTTTTGACCTTTCTATCCAAGTCAGCCGGTGTTGCAATTGCGTCGATCCTCCGTCAGGCCTCGACTTGATATTCTGTCATACCTGGAGCGGTCGGTACAGATATAGGGACATCGTGGAACGCCCTGGTTGTTTTCTGTTCAATTGTTTTTTTCTAATCTTGCACTATCCGCTTGCAATAGATTTTCGTTGGAGAGATGGATGTTTACCTGGACGGGTTGCTTTGGTTTGATGGTCATGGTAGGCGAAGAACAGCATCTCCGCGCTTACTCGTTTCGGTTGCCCTATTTTTTGGCATAGATTTTTACCTCTCGGTCGTATTTACCGTCGTCATCCATTCTCGGCTGTCGCAGTATCAAATGCGTGAGTTTCTGGTAAGTTTCTTTGTAAACTCATGTTGTGAGAATCCGAAATTTGTGGGGCTCAGTTTTCTTATTGCATTGGCATTTATGCCTCCATTCCTTCATTCGTATACTGGAGCCTATGGAAATGTGCCTTTTAGTCAGAGTGGCGAACTGTGGACGCCAGTGGATAAGCACGTGTGGAAGTTTTTCATTCTGGCTCCCATATTTCCTGCGTCGTTGGTCGCCATGGCCATATGTCCGGCATGCGTTCAATGGCAGCACGTGGAGTCGGGCCCATTGTATAAATCTCCAGCCCGCAAACTTCGTGCCGTTCTAAATTAAGTGATTGGAGATAGAAATAATTGATATTACTTCGTTAGCTTTTCCTTCATCGGCTTTTTTGAAAAGGTTGTTTCGAAAGTGACATTTTCACTCAACGCGGCTTCTGCATTCTGGCTCTCAAAGCACTTGTTGTTACGTGGATAGAATCCAGCTCGAGTCGAAAGTTTTTTGCCTTAAAGGTGCCTGGCGGCTGCTCTTTGATAGGTATACATAAAGCTGCGGGCAGCAGCTGCAGAGTGGAGTGTCGTTTCCGGTTCCTTCTTCGACGATATTGTTGGACCGGCGTTTTGGATTTTCGCATTGTCCGCGGATATATTGACTCTGACAGATATTCTATCTCTTTATCCGGGTCAGCCGTTGTTGTTATCGCCTCAAAACAAGGCAAGCCTAGACTTGAAATTTTGACATTCTGTCACAAAATTGATAAAAATAAAAAATAAAGTCTTTTTCCTATTTCTTAATAGGTTCGGTCCAATTCAGCCAATAACAGATTAATATAATGTTAAAAAAAATAATATTATGTTAAAAAAATAGCAGTTTTGCACGTAAAAAATAAACAGTTTGTTTACTGCCTATGCCCAGTAACGTGTTCCATGTTAATGTTGCGGGACCATCTGCTAGTGCTTTCTCCTTATTTCGAACGCTACAAGGCAACCCACATTTTGTATTCACCAAGCGAAGCGGTTCTCGATTGCCACATTAACATCCACTACAGCAACCTCTTTAATGTCTTGGCTTGACCGAAACAATCTCAAATGCATTTTCTTGAATGGGCTTAGCCAGCAGCAGCTTTTTCTTTCCACCTTATGGCCCACATCTAAGGCACCTAATTCAAGCCGAACACTTACCTTGGCTTTGAGTCCGTATAGCTGCTCTTATCCTGGAGCACAATAACGTTATATCATTGCCGGCTTTGCAAGTACACCATCGAATTCAAATACTCCTTCATGAGCTCCGTTGTCGGTTCTGCTTCTTTTCCGTACTAGTTCTTTTAGCTTGACTTCGCAAATCATCCTTCGACGTCATGATTCTTATCGCGTGCACTATTTGTGCGATGTCAGGCTAGCACGCTTGTAGGCGGCATGCCAAAACCTTCTTCTTTGTACTAGTTGTACGGTATTTTTTTGGCATATTTTCCAGTTTTTTGTCGTAGCTGTTTAGCGATTTCTTCGCAAAACTTCCGTTCCGTAAAAGAAATTCAATCTGCGGTGCGATGAAGGTATTGACGGCATCAATATTCTGCTGTGCACGTAAAGCTTCATCGTTTATATACTACCTCTGTGGATGTAAAGTCTTGAAAGCCCATTGGAATGCCTAAGTATAAATAGCTTATTTGGATTGCGCGATAGGGATTTGAATTCGGCGTTTTCCGTTTTTGTTTTCCTGACGCCATGTAGGGTGGCGCGTTTGTATTAAACTTTAATCCTGCCCAATCCGAAACTTCCAGCGTCGTGTCGAGATGCTTCTCTTGAGCTCTTTCTGGAAAATTTGTGTAGGCTGTAATATCGATATATATATATATATATATATATATATATATATATATATATGTTTTTTACTTTAAAATCAAAATCTCCGTCTGACAGAATCACCGATGCCGTTTATAAAATTAATTGTTTAGATTGTGACAGTTGTTACATCGGTGAAAGTTCCCAATACATTAGTAAAAGAATGAATCAACATATTTAAAATTCAAAAAACCCTAATCAATTTAAAACCATGTTTTCTGAGCACATTATTAATTTCAAACACTCTTTTAATACTGACCATCCTATAATTTTATATAAAGAAAAAAATGTAGACCTTAGAAGATTTTCCGAATCATGTTTTATCTTTTTAAATTCAAATTATGTGAACAAACGCAGTTCTTCTTGCTTACTCTCAGAAAGTTATCAAAATATAATTAATTTCTGTAAATCTGACTCTCTACTACACCCTGATATCCCCTCTTTTCCATGCTCGCGTTCTGGCAGCAGAGCTAACTACGCGTCGCCGACGCAAATAAGTCAAACCGTGTTGCTATGCTATCTGTTAAAAACAAAATATGTGTTTCATACAATTTTACTTTTACCTTTCTTGGTCTTTTCTTAAATTATCTTTGCTTTCCTACAGTAGTATCATGGGATTGTGGTGTTGTAAAATGTGTTAGTATAGTGTGGTTTTTCCTGATCTGGTGTGTATAATTTGTTGTTTTCAATTAATTTTTCCAATGTATAAATTCATTTTTTTAATAAACTTTTTCTTTATAATGTAAATTTCTTTTAGCTGAATGATGAGACACATCTAGTCTCGAAACGTATAAAAAATTAAAATAAATCTTTACATTGGACGCATTGGCTGTTTTATTCATTTCGATATATATATATATATATATATATATATATATATATATATATAGTGATGTACCGACCCGAAAAATTCCAGATGCGAACCAGAAAAAAACCTAATTCGAATCATGATTCGAATAAACTCGAATCAAGACAAAAAAATCATGGATGTATTTATTAACTTCCCGAAGGAGAAGTTTATGTTTTCATCAAAAAATCCGATTCGCTAATTTTATGTTTTCTCGACGTTTCAAGCCATTCTGAATCGAATGAATGAGACCAAATTTGGAAAAAGTATGTGTGTGTGTGTATGTGTGTGTGTGTGTGTATGTGAACAGATTTTTTGCCGTAAATCGACGTTTTCTCAAAAATGACTGGACCGATTTTAAAAATTTAAAAGCCATTCGATGTATCTCGATGAGGACTATCGTCTCTGAGTTTTGTGCGGCGATCGGCCGGGCCGTTTCGTTGTAAATTGCAGAAAAGTGAAAAATTTTTCGCCCACGTTTTAGCCCGCAATTCTAAATCGATTCTGAAAATTCAAAAACCATTCGATAGATATTGGTTGGGAATCGTGCTGATTAGTTTTTGGTAAAGATCGGCCGAGCCGTTTTCTTGTAATAACGTTTTAAAAAAAAAAAATCGACGATTTTTATGATTTTTTTTTTGACGGTAGATACCATAGTTTTCTAGGTCATACTAAAATATTACGGCCCTACGACAACTCGTTTAGCTTTAAAAATTCGTCAAAGTTTGCAAAAATTGGTATAGTTTTTTTGACATTTGTCAAAATTAGACTTTTGATCGACGTTTTCTCAAAAGCGCCTGAACCGATTTCAGAAATTTAAAAGCCATTTGATGTATTTCGGTGAGGACTATCGTTTGTCAGTTTTGTGCGACGATCTGCCAAGCCGTTTCTTTGCAATTTAAAAAAAAGTGTTAAACATTTCGTCCATATTTAAGCTCATCCTACCGAACCGATTTTAAAAAATCAAAAACTGTTCGAAAGATATTAGTTGGGAATGGTACTGATTAATTTTAGGTGAAAATCTACCGAGCCGTTTCCTTGTAATGAACTGTTGAAAAAAAAATTTAAGCCGATTTTCATGGAACTTTTTTTGGCGATATACATCATGGTCTTATAGAACTCACTGTAATATTACGGTCTTTCGACAAGTAGTTTAATTTTAAAAATTTGTCAAACTTTGCTAAAATTATTATCGTTTTTTAAAGTAGGATTGATGAAGTATATTATTTACACTTTTTTTTTGATTAAGTTAATTATTTACACATATCGGGAAGTTCATGTAACTTGCCTCAAGGCTAAATACCAAACCAACTAGTTTAGTAAAAGTGATCCAAATTTTAATTAAAATTGTTAGTTTAACAAATATAAGCGACAAAGTAGAAATTGTAAACATAAATTACTATCAAAAAGTATATTTTGAAAATGATTTAATTTTGAAGGCGGTTGAAACATATCTCCAGATTAATTTACTATAATAGATTACCAAACAATTGTGCATCACTAAAGCACATAAAATAATATTTGGAAGCATGGGTCGATTGTTTATTTTACTATATAATCAGTAAAGGATCGCATCTAAATTGAGAGCTGAAAGTTAATTTCATTAATGTGAATTTGCCATTACTTACATAATCAGAAGTTAAATATAACTTTCTAGTGTTCAGTAATTGTTTCAAAAGAGTATTATATTAAAAAATTTCCGAAAAGCGTTTCATAATTTTGAGTGCTTTATTCTGATAACATTTAAAATCTAAAAAACTTAATTATTATCAAAATTGGGTATGGATATTTCACGAACAAAATCGCTCTCAGCGCTCCGTAAAATAAATAAACACGCAAGAACGACAACTCATTGTATCTGTTTCAAAGTCGCTTGAAGTCATATCGCTCATACGGTTAACTCATATCGCTTGAAGTCATATCGCTCGAACGTCTTGAAGTCGGAATGATTCGGTTTGCGTGATATGAAGTCGGATGAAGTTAGGGCCGCTTGAAGTCGGAATGATTCGGTTTGAGTCATAAACGCTAGGGCCGCTTGAAGTCGGAATGATTCGGTTTGAGTCATATAAAGTCGATTGAAGTCATATCGCTCGAGCCGCTTGAAGTCGGAATGAATCGGTTTGAGTCATATGAAGTCGGATGAAGTTAGGGCCGCTTGAAGTCGGAATGATTCGGTTTGAATCATAAACGCTGGGGCCGCTTGAAGTCGGAATGATTCGGTTTGAGTCATATAAAGTCGATTGAAGTAATATCGCTCGATCCGCTTGAAGTCGGAATGATTCGGTTTGAGTCATATGAAGTCGGATGATATAGTTAGTCGATGAATGCGGTTAAAGTCATATAAAATCGAATGGAGTCGGGTGATACATTTAAGCGTATTAAAGCCGGATGGCTCGCGTGATTTAATTTACGAATTATGATTTATATTATTATATTATCGAATTAAATTAAAACATATTTTTTATATTTATGAAAAAATTGTGTTCATACATATTTCATCACAGTAAATATTTCGCGGCTTGATACGAGTTGATTCGAATCAAGTAAAATCTGATAAAATCAGTGAAAAAAAATTAATCTTTAATTCAAAACGTTTCGACATTCAATTTAATGGCATCATCAGTAGATATTAACTTTCATTTAAAAACACACAGCACAAAAGATTAGCACTAACATTTATACAACTAACCAGCAGAAATGGTCTACGGAACTACGTTGAAACTTCCAGGTGATTTTTTCAATGTATCTGATAACTCAACAAATCCGCAAGTATTTTTAGATAATCATCACCGAATCATGTTTGTGTTAAAACCAACTCTTACTGCTCATCACAACAAGGAAAATATGTTTATTTTGAAAGATATGGTCACATGCGGAAGCCTCTAGGACCACCTTACAGTGGGCGTTATGAAATTCTAGAGCGAGTTACTGACAGAATCTACAAACTTCGCATAAATGGCACTGAAAAGAAATTCACAGTAGAAAGATAGATTGTGAATCAGATTCTTATTCACATAACATCTCAGGCAATCAGCAAGGAAACCTACGAAGAAGACTTCAAACAAGGTTTCGTTTGATATTTGACATATACTTTTCTCTCGTCAGATCTACGTCCATATGACCAATTTTTGGTTTTGGGGGAGTACTATGGCGTCCATCTGACATCTAGCCATAATTGGATAAACAACAAAAAGTAATCTAAGCAATCGCAATCGTCTTTTGTTGTTACGTCGACAAAATAATGTTTATTCCAAAAACTTACATTTTTGTATTTCTGATGAAATTAAATAATTATCCAAGTTAAATAGTGTTTTAATCAATAATAAAATTAATACATAGTCTTACAAACTAAAAGCCGCTAGAAGTCGGAATGATTCGGTTTGAGTCATATAAAGTCGATTGGAGTCGGGTGATACATTTAAGCGTATTAAAGCCGGATGGCTCGCACGATTTAATTCATGATTTATTTTTTATATTTATGTTGTTTATTATTATTATTATTTATATTTATGTTGTTTATTATTATTATTTTTATATCATTATAATATTGAATTAAATTAAAATATTTATGAAAAATATGTGTTCATTCATATTTTATCACAGTAAATATTTCGCGGCTTGATACTATTTGATTCGAATCAAGTCGTTAAAGGCTTGATTCGATTGATTCGAAATACTTTATTCGACTTGGCACTTCACTATATATATATATATATATATATATATATATATATATATATATATAGGTGTATATATATCCTAAAAATATAAGAAGATCGTATTAGTTACAAAACTTATAACTCACGAACGGCTAACCGATTTAGCTAAAAATTAGCAGGGAGGTAGTTTAGAGTCAGGAAAAGGACATAAGATACTTTTTTATCACGTTTTTCATTCAAATTCAAAATTAATTAATTATGAAACTATCCATTTAGGTTATTCAATCTATGATTCATACTTTATCCATGACATTTACTTACAACTGTCAACTGTCAACCGGTTTTGTATATAAATTTATTAATCACCTAAAATATAAATTTTTTAATCACCACGGAAAATTATTACGAAGTGGTAAATAAATTAATCATTAATAATAGCAAGCGATGCCAGATGGACGATGGGGA